AAGGGCAGGCATTATTGTCTGCTGTGATCACCACTGTGTCCCCAGAGCCTGAAACAGTGCCCAGCTCAGTCAATTCTTATTGCGTAAGGAGCAAAATGAGGGGTTGTTGTCCCCTCCAATCAGAGTCCCTCCCCCTCAGGAGGCCAGAAGGGTGGGGGATCATAAACGCCTGTTTTTCCAAAGGAGGAGAAAGGCCCAGAGGGACCAGTCCAGTCTGGCCAGGGATGTGTAACAAGCATGATCACCAGCTCTCTGTGTGTAATTAATTACTCAATTAACGATGTCTGTGTTCCCTGAGGGCAGGGACCATGCCCTCTTGGTTTTCTGTGGGGACTGGCAGACCGGAGGTGCCTGAAATTAATTGCTTTTGCTGTGAGTGTTGATGAGGAAAAAGGCAGAGAAGGGAAGTGTGGTTTAGAGCTCATGGGACCTGCCAGTCACAGCCAGGGGCTCAGAGGGAGGGCAGGTCTCCTGCCCGAGTCCTCCAGCGTTCAGGGAAGACAGGGACCAGAATTGTCACATGGCAGAGGCCAGCTGCAGGGAAGGCTCCACTGGAAGAGCAGGCTGTTGGAGGGGCAGTCATTGTAACCTACCCCCACACACACCTTACCTCTTTGGTCCCCCCGACTCCTACCCACCCCCCACAGTCCTACTCACCCCCACGTCCCTGCCTTTGCCTATGTACTTCCCACACCAGCCATGTCATCCCTTTGTTCTATATCCAAGCATCTGAGAGGGAGTTTTCTGGAAAGGAGGAGATTTTTTTAAATTGATTTTAGAGAGAAAGGAAGGGCAAGAGAGAGAAACATGGATGTGAGAGAGAAACATCAATCGGTTGCCTCCTGTATGTGCCCTGACCAGGAATCGAACCTGAAACATTTTGGTGTGTGGGAGGATGCTCCAACCAACTGAGTCATATGGCCAGGGGCAGAGAAGGTGAGGTTTGGAGCTTCTGAAGCTTTGACAGGATCCCAGGGGAAAATGCAGCACAGCTGCCTCTGGGAGCTGGGGGGCCTTGAAACTTCTTCCCACATCATTTGAAACTCTCCTAAGATGTCAGCAACCCAGAAGGACACCACACCGGAAGCCATCAAGCCAAAGGAAGCAGGTGCAAACTGGAGCAGCCTACACCTTGACTTTTCCCCTTGCCCCACCTGATTCAGTCTCTCCCACACCCCTGACCTCTGTTCCTGTTAGATACACTTCTTTTGGCTCTCCTGGCTGTCTGTGAAATCAAGCAGATATCCCTGCTGCCCCCACATCTTTGACTCCCCCATGCTCAAAAGCTACCCATGGCTCCCCAGTGCCCTCACAATAGAACACACACTCTTCTGCCCCACATTCCTGATTTGACCCTGGAAATCTGGCCACCCCTTTCCTTCACCTTTAGGCATTGAGGTTCACTCCCCATTTGGCAAGTGGAGACCTCATTCCCCACCCCCATGGCTCCTCACCACCCCGATTCTGGCTCCTGTTTCTCCCTCTACCACACCACATGGGACTGGGGGACACACTCTAATTCTGAAGGCCCCTCCACATCCTGGGATGCTGAGCCTCTCTAGGACCACAAGATCCCCCAGCACAGGTTGTTTACAACATTTTCATTCAATGAATACAAACAGATTTCAAACACTGCAACCCAGCATTCAAAGCATTCATCGTCTTCTCTGCCTATAGACTAGCCACAGAAACATACTTTTCCCTCTCCCAAACTGGCCAGCCCCTCTTTACTTCCAGGACTAGTCCACTCTTTTTCTCTTTTCTGTTCTCTTTTTCCAGCTCCTACCTTACTAGGCAAGCTCCTATTCATCTTTCAAACCCCAATTCTTAGGTGCCCTCCCTTCTGAAGCCTTCTATCACCTTGACTGAGTCCTCTAGTGCTTCCTTTTTCCATGCCCTGGCCACATGGGGCTGGGCTCTCTCCCACCTCAGGCTCAGAGCTCCTTGCAAGCAGAGCAATAAGAAAGCAAAATATTCTTTAGGGATCAGCATTTTCCAATTATGAGTTGTGAATCCTAAGTGGATCATGATGAAGTCCACACAAACAAAATTTGTTTTTAAATTTCTGCTATGGCCCTGACTGGTGTAGCTCAGTGGGTTGGACATTGTCCTGCAAGCTGAAAGGTTGCCAGTTCAATCCTCAGTCAGAGCACATGACCCTGGGTTGTGGGTCAGGTCCCGGGGAAGGGGGGAGCTCAAGAGGCAACCACACATTGATGTTTCTCTTCCTCTCTTTCTCTCTCCCTTCCTCTCTCTCTACAAATAAATAAATAAAATCTTTAAAAAATATTTCTGCTATGTATTGTGTCTTTAATTTACATACCTAGCTCGAAAACATTCTTATAAATAGCCACATAATAGTTCAGCAGAATGTATCCAGCCCTACACAAAGTGGTAAAAATATTATGGCTTCTTTTTTATTTATTCACTTACTTATTGCAATCACAATGACTCAGAGATGACTTTCTGTATAATCTCACCATCTATTGAGATTACCTCTTTGGTTAAAGTTCCTAGAGGTGTGATTTGGCATCAAGGGGGGCGGGGTTATTTATAAATTCATGTCTCAACACAAATCGTCAGTTTCCCACAGGAAGCTGCAAAATATGAGTGTGCCCACATTTGCTATGAAATAAACTCATTTTTGAGAGGCCAAAAAAGAAAACCATCTTGTTTTCACCCTGACTGGTGTGACTCAGTAGATCAGGCGTTGTCCTGCAAATCAAAAGTTCACCAGTTCGATTCCCAAGCAAGGTACATGCCTAGGATGCAGGCCAGGCCCTGGTTGGGGGCACTCGAGGGGCAACCTGTTGATGCTTCTCTCACACATCGACGTCTCTCTCCCTTCCTTACCCTCTCCCTAAAAATAAATAAATAAAGTCTTTTTAAAAAATCTTGTTTTCTGTGTGACTGTATGGGTATATGGATATATATATATATATATACAGTCCATATATATATACCAGAGGCTGGTGAACTACAGCCCACTGTCTTGTTTTGTGTGGTCAAAATTAATGTTGACATTTTTAAAAGGTCAAAAAATTAAAAGAAGAAAATGATGTTCCAGAACACATGGAAGTTGTATGGAATTCACACCTTGGCACCCACAAATGAACTTGCATTGGCACCGGCCGCACTCGTTTGTTGACATTGGACCTGTAGCTGCTTCCCGGCCACAGTAGCAAAGCTGAGTCATTTCTGCAGAGATTGTATGGCCCCAAAAGCCAAAAATATCAGCTATCCTGCCTTCCCAACAGAAGTTTCCCATGCCCTGGACTGTATGATTTATTAGCCATGGTGATGGGTTTGAGATACTCAGAAGTGTTTTGGGGGAACCCTTCGTGATATAACTCAATTCCTTGTACCTTAACATGTTTGCCAGAGCCTTTTTGAGAGAAGTAAAAACACCCAAGTGTGTTCCCACCAGGGAAAGGCAAGTTTTGCTCTGTGAAACATTTGTTTTTGTTTGATAAGTATCTGGAAATGCAGGCACCGGGCAATGATGGTGTAGAAATCTCGGACGTGTCGTGAGAAGAAAGCTTTTGAGACCTGCAGCCTCGGAGAGTATCTGCGGGTTGTTCCCTGCACTGCACTTAGAAACTGGCTGGACCAGAATGGAATGAGGAGAATTTTACGTGAAACTGTGGCTAGACCCAAGCGCAGCCCCCACCTGAGCCAGCCCTCTCTCAGTGCCTTCTGTGAGGTGGGCTAAACAGAGAACATTCTGGACCGCAGGGACTGCCAGAGAATGCAGAGAGGAGGACTCAAGAACGCCCAGCCCTCCTCTGCTTCCAGGCGCCAGCACGTCCAGCCCACTCCCATTTTTCAGGTGGGGGTATTGAGCTCCACAAAGGGTCAGCGTCTCTAGCCAGGAGGAACGAGAACCAAGAAGACCATGGGTCACCCTGGAGTCTCAAAATCCTGCCTCCTAGTTCTGGGAAGCAGTGAGGTCAAAGCTAACAGAGCCGGAGCGACCAACCCCCCTGGGACTGAACTTCCCCTGCCCCGCCTGCCAGAACACTCTCCTGGGCCCCCAGACTTTGATCCGGCTCTAAGTGCCAGGGTGATGCCGGGCTGGCCCGTCCTCAACCTCCCTGAAGGCCCATTTCCTCGCCTGGAAAATGGGATTAACTCAATACAGGATATGTGGTGCTGAACTCCCAAGTCATTGTGAAGATTAAATAAGATTTTTCATGTTAAATGTTTAGTACAAAGCCTGGCACAAGGGAAGCACTCAGTAAAAGCCACTGCATGGCTCACCATTCATTGGTCACCTACTGTGTGACAGGCACAGAGTGAAGCACACAGCTGTGTTACACAGCACCCCAGCAGCTCCAGGAAGGCAAGCACCCTGCCTTGTTCACCATGGCGTCCCCAGCTCTCCTCACAAGGACAGCATGGCCACACGTATCTTTGTCTGCTCATGTCTTTTGGGCTTTGGGAAATGCCATTGCGATGTAGGTGTCCAGGATTTGGGGGCCCTACTAGTGTGGGACTAAGGGAAGGATGACTGACTGTCCTGGTATTCCCAGAACTGAGAGGCATCCTGGGACGTGAAACTTACAGTGCTGAAACCGAGACAGTCCCCACCAAACTGGAATGAGTCGGTCACCCTGGGCTGGGGATATAGCTGAGGACAAAGCAGCCATAATCACCTCCACCAGGAAGCCCTCTCTGATCCACCAACCCCCCACCCCCACGATTGTGTGTTCCCCATTACAGCACCATCACCCTGGGTTGTGAATGCCTAGAGTCACTCTTTTTGGTCCTTACTGCCTTTCCAAAACCTACTACATAGCCTGATGACAAATAAAGACAATTAATGAATGAAAGCTATTGCTCCTGGCCTGACACAAGCAAACGGAGGCTCAGAAAGGCGAACTGCTCAAACAGGATTCCACAGCGAGGACGTGGAGGAGCCAGGCTTTGAACCCAAGTCTGGTGAGACTCCACCATGCCACCCCACTCCCGCCCCATGCTCCTGACCAACTGGCCCTCACCGTGTTGTAGAACTCGGCCACCAGCTCCGAATGCTGGAAGTTGCTCTCACACCAGTCCACCTCGGAGCTCTGGTAAGCGAAGATGCTGGGCATGGTGACGCAGCGCCCGCTGCCCTCTGGCTGCCTCTGGCAGAGAGAAGCCTGCAAGCCTAGTAGGGCTGGGCTCAGGTGAGGCGGGGAGAAGACAGCTTGGTGCTCCACAGCATGCTGGGAGGAAAAACCTGCTGAGCGGCTCTCCAATTGCACCATGGCTGCCTAGCAATGCAGTGGTGGCTGCCCTGGGCATACGCTGAGGGGCTGGCACCGTCCAGGGAGGGAGGGGGTGGGCGGGATGGGAGGCCCCCCTCCTCGCCCACTAGGAATGAGAGTCAGTGGGACTGTGTTAGAACAGTAATTTAAATAATAATAATCATCATCCCACTGAGATAAGTGCACTTGCTATCCCCACTGTACAGATGAGCAAACTGAGGCAGAGAGAGCAAAGCCACTTGTCTGGGGCATGCAAGTGGTAACACCAAGATGTGAAAACAGGTTAGCTGAGTCCAGACCCCCGTCTGTTAACTATTAAGTTTTAGTACCTGGCACCATCAAAGCTCCGTGGTGTCATTTCCCATATCAGGGGCAAACCACTGCACACCCCTCAGAGAGCTCAGCTCAGGTCCCCTGTGGTAGGCAACCTTGCCCGGCCGTTTCTTCTTGGGGAGCCTATTTTCCTGTCTGTGCTATCCAAGGTTGAACTGTACTTAAGCCATGTTTCTTGGACAGTCAAGACCTCATATGCCTACAGTGTCACAAATTCCATCAGTGGCCACCTTCAAAACCCCCATGAAGGGAAAAGTCTACAGATTCCCAGGTCTCAGGTCCCTGGTCCTTGCTTCTAAGGGTTATGGCAAGCTATGGTTTTAGAGGCAGAAAACAACAGAGTTTGAATTCTGAGTTCTTCCTCTTCCTAAGCTGTGACCTTGGGCAAGTGAATTCACCTCTCTGTGCCTCAGAGTTTGTTCATTTGTATTATGGAAAGGATGGTGATATACCCAACTATTACAAAGGCACACAGAGCTAAAAAGGGTTAAGGGTTTAGCTCACTGCCTGGCTCAGAGCGGGGCCCACAATAAATGATAATGAGTTTTCTTATTGTAGCTGGCTTTAAACTTTAAGGCAACCTTATAGAATAATAATAACAGTGGCATACTCCTACTGACTTACCAGCACCAGGCTCTTTTCTAGGTGTTCAATATTCAGTATTATCTTATTTAATGCTCTCATTTAACTCTAAGAGAGAAGAACTACAAGTTATCGCCAGGTCACTAGGAGAAAACTGAAGCCCAGAGAAGTTAAGCAAGTTAGCCAAGGTCACACAGCTAGAAAGTGAGTGGGCAAGGCCACTTTACCTCTCTAAGCTTCAGTTTCCTCACCTATAAAATAGGAATAATCATAGTACCTCCTTAGGACTGTTGTGAAGTTTTAATGAGCTGATACAGTGTTTCCCTAGGAAGACAGTTTTTGGACCTGCATTCAAAATCACTGACCTGTGTGACAAGTAATCCACTCCCTTTTCAATTCTCAAGAGCTCAAGGAGAGGGGCTCACTTGGTGCCTAATACGTGTTGATGCCTCTTAACACTTAATCCCAGTGTTTGATAAAAGCCATTCGGTAGATAACAGTACCCAGCTGGAATGTTATGACATTGTTTACATCGTACTTATTTATTTATTTATTTATTTAATTTTAATCATTGTTCAAGTACAGTTTTCTCCCTTTTACTCCCCATACTTATTTTTTAAATAAGCCTGTCTTGTGGCTGGCCCTATCCACTTGCCATTCATGGCAGAGATACAAAGTTTCTTTTTAAAAATAAATGGATTTAAGCTTTATAATTCTGCAGGTCGTTACATAAACCTATACATGATTGTGTAGAGATGCACATGAGTGAATGTAAAAGCTATTGAAATCTGAATGAGGTCTGTAGATCACATCACTATAAATTTCCTGATTTGGGAATCACATAGTTATGTAAGATATACCATTGAGAAAACTGAGTAAAGGATACACAGACCTTTCTGTACAATTTTGGCAACTTCTTGTGAGTATGTAGTTATTCCAAAATAGATACTTTCTTGAAGTAATTGATTTAGGTTTTTAATTGGCAGATAAATATGTCAACAAAGTGAGGTACATCCACATGTTGGCATATTACTCAGCCTTTAAAAGGAAAAATCCTGACACCTGCTACAACATGGATGAACCTTGAGAACACTATGCTCAGTGAGAGAAGCCAGACACAGAAGGACAAACGCTGTATGATTTCATGTATATGAGGAACCTAGAGTCATCAGATTCATGGAGCCAGGAAGTAGATGGTGGGTGCCAGGAGCTGGGGCGTTAGTGTCCAATTTCAGTCTGGGAAGGTGAGAAAGCTTTGTGGATGGATGGTGAGGGTGGCTGCCTAACAATGTGAATGTGCTTAATGTCACTGAACTGCAAGCTTAAGTATTGTCAAGGCGATGCATTTCATATTATGTATGAAATTTACAGTTTTTAAAAGCAATTGGTTTAGGTTTTGAAGGGAGTTTTACTTTACAAAATATCTTCAGTATATAAGAGCTCAGGAGGAAGGTAGATATAGAAAAATCCTGAGGATGGTCTGTGAACATCAAAAATGTAGGAACTGTTGAGGTTTTGCATGCTGCAGCCTCAGCCCAGACCTGGTGCTAAATAAAAAGAGGTTAATGTTGCTGTTTCTGTTAATTACAGAGCGTCAAATGCATCCATGTTCAGTCTCTGCCAGGTGCCAGAGAGCTACCTTCGAGATCCTCTGAGAGATGAGAAGATGTCAGGTTTGGAAATGAAAGAAGGTTCCCAGAACCTGAATTCAAAGCTTGACCTGACTGCATTGCCCCAGAACAATAACAACCCCACCATATAGCCACAGCCTTGACCCTCAATTCCTCTGTCTAGGAGGGCCAGGAGAGCATACACATACCCCCATGTCCACCACCCTCTCCCCAACCTCTCCCAGCCTGATGCCTTCCCCATAGAGTGTCTATGAGGAGGTGGACCAGATGGTCTCTGAGGTTCTTCCCTGCTCAGATCTAGGGCAGGGCATGACTGCCAGCATCTGGCTCTTCTGGACCTCTGGGGAGAATTAATCACAGGAAGCAAGGTAGTGCCAGGTGCCCACACCCGGCCCAGCCTGGAGAGTTTGGGAAATCACCCTGCACAGAGCTGACTAGGAAAATAGGACAGCCAGACATGTAGGTGTGTGGGTGCTGAGTCCAGGGGAAGAAAGGAAGCTAAAGAGCAGGTGCAAAGAGCCAGGTCCTGGGAGAAGGGGTGTGTGAGTTTTCGTGACTGCTGCAACAGTGGCTTAAATCAACATACACTCATTATCTGACAGTTATGGGCATCAGGATTCAAAATGAGTTTCATGGGGCTAAAATCAAGGGGTCAGCAGGGCTGGTTCCTACTGGAGGCTCCAGGGAGAATCCATTTCTTGCCTTTTCTAGCTTATAGAGGTCACTTGCATTCTTTGGCTCAGGGTCCCTCCCTCCATCTCCAAACTGCATAATCTCCCTTCTGATTTCAACATCATACCTCCTTTCCCCTGATGTTACCCTCTTCTAAAGACCCTTGTGATGACCCTTGGACCCACTCAGACAATCCAGGATAACCTCCTCCTCTCAGATTCCTTAATTCAATCACACATGCAAAACCTCTTTTGCCACAGAAGGTAAATACATTCCCAAGTTTCAAGAATGAGGACATGAACATTTGGGGGGAACCATGAATCTCCTTACCACTGGGGGAGAAGGTAGGCCTGGGGATACTGGGGCTGGGGATGAAATAAATTGGGGTTGAGATGGACATGAAGATGGAATTGGGGATAAGGCTGAGGATAAGGATGGTGCTGAGCCTGGAGACAGACTTGGAGTGGGTGTTGTGGGAATGGAGAGAAAGATGAGGTTAGGATGGAGCAGGGGTTTGGGCAGGGACTTTGAAGGGGCTTCATAGGCTATGAAGGACATGACTGCGCAGTTGATGAAATTTGAACATAAACTGTATATTAGATATAGTGTTGTACTGTGTACGATTTTTGTATTTGATAAATAGTGATTATGTAAGAAAGTATTCTAGTTCTTAGGAGACACATGCTTAAATATTTAGAGTGAAGGGACTGATGTCTGCAACTTGCTTTGAAACAGTTCTGCACACAGTCCTGGTCAGGAAGCTCAGTTGGTGGGAACAGCATCCTGATATGCAAAGGTTTGTGGGTTCAATACCCAGTCAGGACATGAATGCATAAATAGGTGGAACAACAAATTGATGTTTCTCTCTCCTTCTTCCTCTCTCTCTCCCTCTGCAAATTAATAAATTAAAAAAAGAAAAGAAATGGTTCTGCAAAAATAGAGGAGAGATGGAGAAACGGAGAGGAAGAATGACAAAATGCTAGTGACTGGTAATTTAGGTGAAAGATACATAGAATTTTGTTGTACTCTTCTTGCAGTTTTTCTGTTGCAATTGAAATATTTCAAAATAAAAAATTAAAAAACTGTTGACTAGTAAAAATTGTTGACAAGGATGAGGAGCAAGGAAACTTCCATCCCTGGCTGGTGGAAATGGGACATGGTCAAGGGACAGAATTTTGGAAAACAATTTGAACTATCTAGTGTATTATTGGGCAGGTAGGTCAATTGCTAGAATAGGAAAACACAGCATATCTCAGTATCTTCAAAGTGTATTTCTCACATAAACAAAGTCCATTGAGTGTGTACATCTACTCTGGGAGGCTGTCTGTCTAGTGGTCCAGGTTCCTTCCATCCCGTGATGCACCCACAAATTGTGGCTTCTATCACCAACAGGAAACTTTCAGAGTGGCCCTCCTAGGAAAGGAGACATGTGGCACACATGATCCTTAACCACCTCAGTCCAGAAGGACATGCCTTACTTTGTCAAACTTTCGACTGGTCAAAATGAGTCACATGACCCCAACTAGATGCAAGGGTAACTGGGAAATGTAGTCTCTGGCTGAGTAGCTGCTCCTCAATTGTACCCTACAGAAAGGAAGCCAGAATTTTTGTGAGGAAGTGGTTGCTTCTTCCACATTCAATTAAGTGTGAATGACCATAT